GGAAAAGATAGATAAAAAACTTAAAATAGCCAAATTTCTCTCCCCTATCAATAATTGCTTAAATGTAAATGGATTAAAGTCCCCAATCAAAAGATATACAATTGCTGAATGGATTTTTTAAAAATAACTAACTATATGCTTGTCTATAAAAGGCACACTTTAGATTTAAGGGCAAAGGCTGAAAGTGAAGGAATGGAAAAAAATGTTTCATATAAACTGTATCCAAAAAGAGCAAAAGTAGCTATACTTACATCAAGCAAAATAGTTTTTAACCAAAAACTGGCACAAGAGACCAAAAACGCTATTATAATTATAATAATACATATACCCAACATCAGAACACCTAAATATATAAAGCAATCATTAACAGGACCAAAAGGAGAACTAAAGAGCAATGTGATAATACCAGGAGACTTCAATACCCCCACTTTCCTTAATAAATAGAACCTCTAGACTGAAAAACAATAAGGGAACAATGGACTTGAACAACACTATGGACCAATGGGCCCAAGAGACATATAAAAATATTTCACCCAATAGCATCAGAGTATACATTCTTCTCAAGCACACATGGAACATTCCAGGATAAGTCACAAAATAAGTCTTAACAAATTTAAGAAAATTAATATCATACCAAATGTCTTTTTCATCCACAATGAAATAAAACTAGAAATAAATAGCAGAAGGAAAACAAAAAAATTCATAGAGATTTTGAAATTACACAAACATGTTCTTGAACAACCAATGAGTCAAAGAAGAAATCAATGACCAAGTGTGATGACTCACCTCTGCAATCCCAGCACTTTGGGAAGCCATTGTGGGAGGATCACTTGAGGTCAAGAGTTTAAGACTAGCCTGGGCTACATAGTAGGACTCCATCTCTACCAAAAATGTAAAAAGTTAGCCATGTGGTGGTATGCACTAGTAGTCCTAGCTACTCAGGAGGCTGAAGTGGGAGGATCGCTTGTGTACAGGAGTTCAAGTTTACAATGAGCTATTATCATGCCACTGCACTCCAGCCTGTACGATGGAGTGACACTCTGTCTCAAAAAAAAAAAATCAAAATGAAAATTGGAAATATTTCAACACAAATGAAGACAAAAATACAATGCCAAAACTTATGTGAGGTAGAAAAATCTGTACTATAGGGAAGCTTATAAATAAATACTTACCTTAAAAAAGAAAGATTAAAAATAACCAACCTCATTTTATGCCTTAAGGAACTGGAAAAGGAAAACAAACTGGGCCCCAAGTTGGTAGATAGAAGAAAATAATTAAGATTAGAACAAAAATAAGTTAGAGAATAGAAAAACAGTAGAATAAAATCAGCAATACTGAGATTTCTTTTATTTTTGAAAAGATAAAATTAACAAAACTTTAGCTAGACTAAGAAAAAAAAAGAAAAACTCAAATAAATTAGAAATGAAAGAGGAGGCATTACAACTAATCACAGAAATAAAAAGGATTCTGAGAGACTACTACAACAATTAATTACCAACAAATTGGATAGTCTAAAAGAGATTAATAAATTCCTAGTTCGTCTACCAAGACTGACTCATGAAGAAACAGAAAAATCTGAACAGACTAATAATGAGTAAAGAAATACATCTAACTTTATCAAACTCCTCAAAAAAAATTTAAGAAGCGAGAATACTTGCTAAATGATTTTATGAAGCCAGCATTACCCTGATACCAAACTCGACAAAAGCACTACGAGAAAAGAAAACTACAGACTAATTTCTTTGGAGAACCTATGCAAAAATCCCCTGCAAAATACTAGCAAACTGAATTCAACAGCACATTAAAGAGATCATATATCATTAGCAAGAGGGACTTATCCCTGAGATGTTAAGAATGTTTCAAAATACACAAATCAGTAAATTTAATGCACAATGTTAACAGACTAAAGGATTAAAAACCTCACAATCATCACAATAAATACAGAGGAGAAAAGCATTTGACAAAATTTAACACACTTTCTTGGTAAAAATTCAACAAGGAATAGAAGGAAATTACCTCAACATAATAAAGACCAATTATGAAAAGCCCACAGCTAACATCATGCTGAAGGTGAAAAACTGAAGTATTTTTCTTTAAGATCAAGAAAAGGCACAATTATCCATTTTCACTACTTCTATTTGACTTAGTTCTAGAAGTCCTAGCCAGAGCAATTAGGCAAGAAAAAGAAATAAGAGACATTCAAATCAGAAAAGAAGAAGTAAAATGATCTGTTTGCAGATGACATAATCTTAGGTGTACAAAGAAATGGTTAGGGGTGGGAATATAGGCAGGTTAGTCCTGTTCTTTTCTTCCCTACCCAGAATCATCACTCTAAACGATTAATCATCACTCTAAACTATTATTTTAAGTAATTAGAAGATAAAGCTTCAAATTTAGCAAATTCTAGTAAAATAAAGAACAGTGATATAGTGAGCACAGGAGAGAGAAGTTCAGTACTGTATCTTTATCTCATTTGTTTAGAAGGTAATCGCAAATGTTTTCTGGGAATCCTAGAAGTGTTCACTAGAATCCTAATGGATATTCAGTTGACACTTGAACAATGTGGGGGTAGGGGCACTGACTCCCCCCATGCAGTCAAAAATCAGTATATAACTTTTGACTCTCCAAAAACTTAACTAGTAATAGCCTACTGTTAACCAGAAGACTTCAATATGTAAACGATTTATTTACACATATTTTGTGTGTTATATGTATTATATACTGTATTCTGATAATAAAGACAGCCAGAGAAAAGAAAATGTTAAGAAACTAATAAGGAATATATTTACTATTCATTAAATGGAAGTGGATCATTATAAACATCTTCATCCTTATCTTCACACTGAATAGACTGAGGAGGAAGAGAAGGAAAAAGAGCAGAAGTGGGTCTTGCTGTCTCAAGGGTGGCAGAAATGGAAGAAAATCCATACATAAGTAGACCCACTCAGTTCAAACTCATGTTGTTCAAGGGTCAACTATACTTATCTCTTCATTTGTGTGTGTGTGTGTGTGTGTGTGTGTGTATAATTATGAGAAAAGATAGACTTCCAGCATTTAAGCTCCATGAAAGCAGAAAAAAATGTCAAGTTGGTTCAATCACTCCTTTATTCACTCAACTAATACTCATCAAGCACTTGCTATGTGCCAAGCACTGTGCTTGGTGCTGGCCCTTTTTTTTGGAACTATGGTAGGTCTATATTTCTAAAACACTGATATGAGTGAAGTGGCAGTGGCTTTGAGACAGGCAAGAGGGTGGACAGGGAGGTCAGGTAAGAATCTGCTGTAGTCTAGTCAGGAGGTGACAGTGGGTCAGGGTGGATGGCAAGACACTTCACTGGGGAAAGCTGGGAAACCTGTGATGGGGTTAGCAACCAAGAGTCCCATCTTGAACATACTAGGAGTGAGTTATCTGAAAGACATCCAAATGGAGCTTTCAAGAGTCGTCCCCCCCAGCAGTGCCCAGCAAATGCCAATACCTGTTAATCAGGTAACAGTAGAGCATTGGTTCTCAAAATGGACAGGCTACATCCGCATCATCCGTCCCCACCTGAATGGAATCAGCACTCTGAGGGTAGACCCTGCAATTTGTTTTAAGACTCTCCACGTGGTTTTGATATACAAAGGGGACCCAAAAAACTTAGAATTATGTTTTGGAGGGTAAACCCCTTGTAGTACACTTGGAATTTTTTCCTCCAGATTAAACGGTCAGCCAAAGATCTTATCTGGAAGTTTGGAGAAGACTGTGTCACAATTTGCAGAAGAAACAACCCAAGTTGTGGCAAACAGGTGACTGGTTCTTCCACCATGACAATGCTTCTGCCCACACCCCACTGAGTGTTTTTAACCAAAAACAACATGACACTGTGCCCCACCTTCCCTATTTACCCCATCTCACACTGGTTGACTTTTCTTTTTCCTGAATGAGAAAAGTACTTAAAGAAAAACTTTTTGCTGTTGTGGAAGAGATGAAACAAAATATGGTAGAAGCACTAAAACACTTCAAAATTGACGAGTTCAAAATTGTTTTGAGCAATGGAAAAAGCTTCTCGATAGGTTTATTGCATCAAAGGTGACTGAAGTTTAAACATGTAAGAAAAAACACATCATTTAAAAAATTTTATTACAGAGATATGGAGTATTAGTCAGGATGAGCTATGCAAGTAGGCTTTGTGCAGGTGACGTTTGGGCCTCCAACCGGTACTCACTTCCCCTGGTTTGGGGCCAGGTACCCTTTGTGTTGTTGTGTGTACCCCCACCCTCTCACCAGCAGTGTCCAACTGCCAATCCCTTTCTTCTGCTAATGTGACTAATGTTCAGAGTCCACTTATGAATGAGAGCATGTGGTATTCAGTTCTTTGTTTCTGTGATAGATCACCAAGTACAATGGCCTCCAACTCCATCCAATTTGCCGTGAAGTCCATGATTTTGTTCTTCTTTATGGCTGCATAATACTCCATTGTGTATATGTACCACATTTTCCTTATCCAGTTCACTTTTGATGGGCAATAAGGTTGGTTCCACATTTTTCCTGTTGTGAACAGTGCAGCTGTGAACATACACGTGCAGGTGTCTTTTTGGTAGAACAATTTATGTTCCTCCAGGTATATTTGCAGGAGAGAAATTGCTGGGTCGTATGAAAGGTCAATTTTTGTTTTTTTTAGGAATTGACCCACGGCTTTCCACAATACACAATTTTTTGTGAATAAATTCCATTTTGGGGGGATCCCCCTCATACATCAGTGTTCTCATAAAGTAGGCTTCCTAGCTACTCAGATTTGTTAAGAGCCATGAGAAAATGCTTCTTAATAACTCACACTCAGTTGATTAACAGCATTGATTACAGGACTAATAGCTATGCTATTTGCCAATAGCTCAGCGGAGGGCATTGTTCCCAGAACTGAGGAAATGGATTCTGTATCTTCCCTGTGTGCGCACTCCACAAAGATCACTGTTGGAACCTATAGACGTGTTCCTCTGACTCTTGTGCTTGTTGGTTTCAGGGCCTCAGTCGCCTGTGAACATGGACCTGCATGGGGGAGCTGAGTGGGTGTGCAGGGCCTTCTCAGCACTCATAGACCACCTCACCCACCCAGCCTGAAGTGAATTAGGTAACTGTAGAGCACCAGTTCTACCAGTTCTTCACAGGTGCCTTGGTGTGATATGAAACACATTTTCAAATCTCTTGTAAGAGGATTAAACCTTCTACTTCACTCTCAAGAGTTTTGGTTGAACTGTGAAGACAAGAAGCTTTATTTTTAATCATCCTGCTCCTGAATCTTGGTTCTTCAGAGTAAAGCCTTGAGGTTGGGGGTAGGCAGTGAATAGTGAAGGGAGAAGGAAAGAAGATAGGGCATGGCTGGTCCTGGGCATTGGCTCCCCACCTAAGGGCCATGCTTACTGGGAACATCTTGGTGGGAATATCTGAGCATGTGGTCTACAGGAAGGCACGCAACTATCTTCCTCAAGTGCCACTGGAATTACTGAATTGGTGACCTAAACTTCTATCTGGATGCTCCTGCTAGGAAACAGGCTTGGCACAGAACCAAACACACACACGCAAGTGGGTGCGTGTGAAACATGAAGTCTGATAAAGCCTGGGTCATGCTAATATCCGTTTCCTGGCTGTGATATTGCGCTGTAGTTACACAAGATGTTCCCACTGAGGAAATTGGGTGAAGGGCATACAGGTGTCTCTGTAGTGTTTCTTACAACTGTACATGAATTGATAAGTATCTCAAAAATTTACAAAGCATAATGTCAATGTCTGTCTCTAAAACCTCACATCAGTGAGTTTCACTAAAGCATTTGTATCACCTCTCTCTGTATGTTGGATTAAGTTCTAGTGCCTTAGTATAATTCCAAAGTAATGGAGAAAGTTTTTTGCCTGTTGGAGCACTTAGCTTCTACGCACTTTCTATCTACCAACTCATTTAATCCTCACAACAAATGCAGGGCATAGGTGTCTTATTTTAGAAGAAAACTGAGGCACAAAGAGGTTTAGTTATTTGTGCAAAGTCATTTGGCCACTGCAATATAAAGCAGGTATTTGAACCCAGTCCCCAAACCTGTATTCTAATCACTGCTCTGTCAGTATTGTGATTTCAGTGTTTTTGCCTATTCTTTTGATCAGAAGTTTGTGTTATATTGAGAGGCTGTGCCTTTTTCTTTATATGATCTATAATTCCTAGTACTGATTACAGAATGAAATAATGTCCTATGGGACAGGATTGGGACTAGGTTATACCTGTTCAATATCATCCTGCTATTTTAAAATTTGTTTTTTGGTCTATCATAAGTTCTTGATTTTGGTTTTATCATTTTTTAATTTTAAAGACATGGGGTACAATTCAGGATTAGGTATACAAATGTTCATTATGCAGGTAACCTTGTTGATGAGCTGTGCCCCTGCCTCCTCTTGCAGTTTCTATCAACTGCCAATCCCACCCCCCCTTCCCTAGCAGTTTCCACAAAAACTCTTATTTTTACTGCAACCCAGCTTTCTCCTTCCAAGTTTGATCAGCAAGCTTTTGACCAACAAGCCAGGCCCATGGACCAAATCCTGCTTGCGGCCTGTTTTGGACAGGTGTGAGCTAAGTGTGGTTATTACATTTTTTAAATGATTGAAAAAGTCAAATGAGAATATTTTGTGACACCTGAAAATTACATAGATCCAAATTTCTGTGTTCATAAATGAAGTGTTATTGGAATACAACCAGCCTCATTCATTTACCTATTGTGATAGTTGCTTTTGTTCTGCCAAGGCAGAACTGATTCGTTGTAGCAGAGACCAGGTGGTCTGCAGACCTACAGTATTTACTATCTGACTCTTTACAGAAAAATATTGCCAGCCTCGTCTGTGGAGTACTGAGGCAAGGGTGGAACACAAGCAGGCTCTTCTGAAAGTTCATTCTCCAAGAGTGGCGTCTGCAGTGATTGCAAGAGGTTATAAATTGATGTGTTCGTTTTGAAGAACATGATGAAAACACTACAGAAAGTAGCATGAAAGCAAAATCATGAGCCTGTGTGCAGAAAAGGTCTGGGGGGCAGTTGTGGGTGTGCTCCTTCTCCCACCAGCCCACAGCAGAGGCCAGGCCTTCCCCCCAACTCTAGTCAGGGCTTCTTTCTCCTACTAGGCTAATCCTCAGATGAAACCTATCTTTTGATAGGAACTCTTTAGATATGATTTCTAGCTGAAGGAGGGCCCTAAATCTTCAATAAAAACCTTTACGGAGGCTTCCTTTGGATCTGGAAAAAGCAAGGGACTTGCTACTATGTCTAAAATTTAAACAGCTGTCAATTACTGGTTATAATAGAATGGTTGGAGAGATGAGATTAATTAGAGATAAAAATAGTATCATGTCTGGAACGCAAATAAATTTGCTAATTGGATTTCTTTGTTGTAAACCTCACTCAGGCTTGGTCATTTTTTAGGGAAAAATTACTATACGTTCTCTATAATGCTGTTCATTCTATTTTAGATTCATTTCAATACAAAGTGTATCCACTTACAGAGTTCTAATATTTATCAAATAGCAAATATGCTAATTGGGAAATAATGTGTACCTATGTATATTTACACGATTTTATTAGCATTTAGACATCATTAGTAGAAACATTAAATATTGAAATAAAGAGACTCCAATAATATTTCCTGGGCTCCAGAGTTTTTATTAATATCGTTTCCTTTAGAAGAATGCTTTATTTGCCAGTTTTTGTTATGTTATTTGCTTCATTCAGTGTTCAAAAATAGTTTCTCAAACAAGATTTAGGTATCAGGAACAGGTAATTAGTAACTGTCAGGAACTGGTAATTAATAAATACAGTCCCTATCCAGCCTGTGTATAAGCAACCCAGTGGGTGATGACTTGGAAATCATGTGTGTATCCATGTGAAATGTATGACATCAGGCTCATCGACAATGCCAAGCCTCCCAAAACAGAGATTCTGAGTCTCCCAATCTCCAGGTTATCTTTGGAAGTCACTTAACTCTTAGATGGCAGGATGGCCTGACAAGAATGTCATCATTTGAGAAAACATGCTAGCAGCCAAAGACAAAGCATTAAATAAATACACTGGGAATTTGGCTTAATATCTATCTCTGGACACTTCCAGCACTTAACACAGATAAATAGTCAATAGTTTAAAATTGTTTCTTTTTACTTAAATTCCAAGGCATGAGCTAGCTCTGAGGTTAGATTTACTTTCTCTTCATTTCCAGGCTTACTCTTCCAGTCCCTCTGGGCCCCACCCTGGGCACATGCATGCTTATCAGATTTTCGATCATCTCTTTCTTCTTCAGGAAAGGGGGTCTTAGCAGCTGAAAATAGACACCTGCAGTAGAAAGAGGTAACTTTGTAAGATCATCAAATTATTTTCAGGTTAATTAAATATCAATAAATTGTGTTTGAAAAGAAGTTTGATTTTCTGCCACTTGAATATCAAAATTCTATATGAATTTTTTGCAGGGATATATATATATAAATTTATATTTATGCAAAGTTTTGTGTCTTGTGTAGCTGTTATATAATTTAAGATAAAGAAATTAAAATAAATGTATTTCTTTGTCAATTAATATGTGTTAAAATATTTGATTAAAAAGGTAAAAGTCATCATTATATAATTTTAATATATAATATAAAATAGACATTAGAAATATTAAAAAATGTGAACCACTCGTAATACAACCTCCCAGAGATAACCATAGTTTTGTGCACACACACTTTAAAATGCAATTTATTTAACCATTACCCTATTGTGGGGCATTTGGATGCTTTCCAGAGTTTCTGTTACTGTAAATAATATTGCAATGAATGACCTTGTCCTGCATCATTGGCTGTATTTATGAGTGCTCTTGAGGGTAGATTTTTAGATGGGTAATTGCTGAGTGTGTGGCTTAGGAAATTTCTTGAAGTAGTCACAAAGAAAATCAAGCATACATGAGTCTATTTATGTTTCTGAAGTGTTGCTTTCTCTTGTGCTTAGTGTTTAAAAAATAAGCACTATGAACATTTGCTATCTAGTGAGACACCAACTGCACATACCACCAGATTATAGATCTAAACTTTAATTTTCTCATCCCAGAGGAAGACAAAGACTCACAATTTTTCTAGAACATTCGAACTGCCTGGTTTGGGAGGGCAGGTTTTTCTGTCCCTCTCAGTGGGGTTTGTTGAAGGAAGAGGTTATTTTTGACACAAACAATGATGTACTTCAAAATTTCTTCATTTGCATTGAAGCCTTTACTAACCAAATTGAGTTACCCTTAATTTTCGGTTTTGGAGTTGTCAGGGTACTCTTTCCCCAAATCAATCAATCTCTCTCTCTCTCTCCCTTTCTCCCTCCTCTCTTTCTCTTTCTTCCTCCCCCCTCTCTCTCTCTCCCTGTCTCTCCCTCTCTGTCTCCCCTCCATTTTCTCTCCCTCTCTCTTTCCTCTCCCTTCCTCTCTCTGTTTCTCCTTCCCTCTCTTCTTTCTCTTTCCTCTCTCTTTCTCTCTCATCCCCTGTATTTCTCCCTCTCTCTCTCTCTGCCCCTCTCTCTTTCTCTGTCTCTCCCTTTCTCTCTCTCCTCTTTCTCTGTCTCTACCTCTCTCTCTCTTTCCCTTTTTTTCTCATTTTTCTCTCTCCCTCTTACTCTCTCTATCTCTTCCCCCTCTCTTTCCCTGTGTCTCTCTTTCTTTTCTTCTCTCTCCACTCTTCCTCCCCCTCTCTCTTCCTCCTCCCTCTCTCTCCCTCTCTTCCTCCTCTTCCTTCCTCTCAATTCCTCTCCCTCTCCCCCCTCTCTCCCTCTCTTTCTCCCTCCCTCCCTATTTCCCTATTTCTCTCTCCCCCATCCTTTCCCCACCTTGACATACTCCATCATCATTTAGTGCTTAGCCCTGATACATCCTCTTCCACCTTCCTTTGGATACTTCACATTCAGCTGTTGGCCTGTATCTTTCTATACTAAACACCAATGACCTTTAGTCTTTCCCATATGCCATCTGCAGTCCTCTCATGTCTGGACTCCTCTGTTCCTGTCTGTCATTGTTATAAATAGCCATGGTGTTCAGGTCACCACCAGCTCAGTCAGTTGTCCCTGAGTCAAGCTCTTCCAGGTTCTTCCCATCATTAAATCAGTGCCTTTCAGACATTTCTTTTTTATAGACACACAGAATATTAGAATAGATCAAATGGACTTGTCGGGTCATTGACTTCTTCCCACATGCTTCTTGATGAGGAAGCTGAGGCTAAGTTAATTAACTTGCTCAAGGGGACATGGCTATTTGATATATTTTGTTTTCATATTGCTGACCCAATATTAACAAACATGATATATTTACATATAAAATTATGTAGGAGTTTTATGTTTTTCACAAAGCACATTTCATAGTAGATTTCCCAAATGTGTTTAAACTTTTGATTTGAAGACATCAGAATAACAAGAAGCCTTTTGTATACTATCTAGACACTTACTTTAGTTCTTCTCTTCAACTCTGATGGTGTGATTTCCCTGAGAACTACAGGGACAAACACCTCTTCACCTTTCATTCCCATTCCAACCTGACAACATGTTATCTTTCCCCCAGGGACAAAATAAAAAATTATTGTAGGATCCCTGCAGGTACATCCAGAGCCCAGTTGAACCACTAGAGATTTAATCAAGCCTCTTGAAATGCAATCTCAGTGTTCCTATAACTATTTAACTTTTGGACATGGTGTCTTCTTGACCCAAGACCCTATTTAACTGTGTTTATATAAGCCAAATGGAAAGTCTTGTTTCCTGATCTGCAAACAGTTGTTTGTGCCAAACATTCAAACAATTTCCATAAAGGGATTGCCCACTCCTGCTACTTGGCTACTTGTACTGCAGTCTCTGCTAAGGTTTGCAGAGAGCTCAGTCTAGAGCAACTCTGCAGCAAGATAAAAGATGTGGCTTTCAACACTGATGCTGTCTTGGAGAGAAATTTTATAAAAACATACACATAATTAATATATTTAACATTTTCATGTTTAGTTGAACAAAACTGACATTATTTTCATGTATTCTGTAGCCTTTCTGAGTTATTCTAAGTGAGTGCAAGATAGAAAAAAATATTAGTAATGCCAAATCAGGTAAGACAACTAAGTATGGTTAAAATAGAAGAAAAGGCCCTGCAGACCATCCTCAGCAGTAGAGAAGGAAAGATATGGTCCTTACTGGTGCAGATGTCTGGACAGCCTCTGTTTAAAATATTTTTTAAATATTAGTAACCAATATTTTAAAGCATTCATTTTACATTTCTATTTAAATAGCAAAGCTGCTGAAAGAATATTTTCTCTAGAAAATAAAAGTGGTTTAAGTTACAGTAACACTTACCAAAATGATAAACTTATCTACAAAATAGCAGTGGATTATCTGGTTTTACGGATTGGCAAATCACGAAGATTTTTCATTACTAATATTCAAGTGGCCTAGGTCTCAAAAAGCTCTCCAATAGGTTAGGAAGGGTAGTACTGAGCTGTCACTGTTTATTGTTGTATTAATACAGAGATAATAGGAATATATAAGAATATCACAATAAAATGTGCAAATGCAAAAAGTAGTTATGCTCATGTTTTCCACCAATGTATAAACAATTATAAAGAGTTACTGCCACCCAAGCAACCCTTGGTAAAAGGTTTGGATGCTCATTGGTTGAAACCAAAAAAGGAACCAGAACAATATGATGACCAGGCTAAGGCATCTCTCTGCTTACTCACAGGGGCTGACTCTCCCTCATTCTAATTCTATATGAGATATTTTTTCTACAGTCTCAGAGAAAACTATGTTTTAATATAGTCTTTATTTTAATGAAAAGTCTCTACATTTGTAGGAAGTTACAGCTTAGTAAAAATGAATTACTCAGCTTGCTGGAAGTTAATGACTTATTTGAGATTCATTCAAAAAGCAACAAGAAGGGAATCTGCATGCCAGCTCCTTTTTTACTCTTTCTTCTTCAGCTAAGTGCCTTTCAAAGAGTCTCTCCATTTATATAAAAGCAATGTGGTTTTTTTCATTGAAAAAGGGTCCCCAGATTTACATTCAAGTCTCCCCAATTCCACAGCATGTAACCACCAGGTTATGACTGCCAATGTTCAGACTAGTAGTAAAAAAATAGTGGTGATCTTGGGACCTCCCTTTGTGCTTCTATGTCGTATTTTGGAATCATGCCTTTTCTTACTTGTCTTTCTGACTCTTCTTTGTTGCTGTTTCCATGGAGGATGAGGATGAGGACAGCATGTGACATAATCAGCTAGTATGAGAAGCAGTAGGAAGTTCTGTCTACCTTCCTATCAACCTTTGAGAGGAAAGTGTGTAACACTAGAGTCCCCTAAAGCCATGCCCCACTTCCTCACAATGCAGCACACTCACACTTTTTGACCCTTTCAAAAGATCCTGGAAAACTGGGCTGACCACCTTGTTTCTTCCCCATGTGCCGTGGCTGTGCTGCTGAAACTTTCTCTTCCTCTCCAGTCAGTTGTCTCCTTCCTAAACCATGGTTCCTGGAGAGGACACAGTCCACATAGATGTCCCCGAAGAGCTGATCCCAAAATAGGGCCCCATGCTTCAAGTTCTCAGATGACTTCAGGTAGATCATAAAGTCCCAGAAACCTGAGACTGTGTTGGAAATGCGAGGCTTCCTCATCTCCAAGAGGAGCACCGAGGAGGACTCCCAGCACTGAGGGTCAGCATGGCTCAGAGCAAGCAGTTCTGTCTGGCCAAGGCAGAAGAAGGGAGACACGCAGCACATTCCCACAAGGAGCAGAGAGCAGACGAGACTGAAGACACGGTGGGCCCCTCCTCTGTTCCTGGGATTGGCCATGGCTCTGTAACTGCACAGGATGGAGATGTCTCAAGTCAGCCCATCCCATGCTCCAGTCAGCAAAGAAAATAAATAGCCCTTAAGAAACTGTTCCAGCAGAGGCAACACATCATCATCACCAAGTAGGGAAATCTTAGCCATCTCCTGTGTCATAGCCCCATTCTGTCTAAAATAACTCATTGCCAGGTCTGGTACTGAGGGTAAAACCAGGATATTTAGGCTAAGAAATATTTGCTCCTAAAGAGTGTTTCTTTGTAAGATGAATAAGTGAAACTGTTTTCCCTTGGTACAGAAGAATAGAAAGGTTTTGGTTGTTATTATTGTTGTTTGGGATTTTGAGGAGTTTTTTAAAAAAATTTTTTTTTGAGAGACAGAGTCTCACTATGTTACCCAGGCTGGTCTTGAGCCATCCTGCTACCTCTGCATTCTAAAGTGCTGGGATTATAGGTGTGAGCCACTGGGCCTGGTCAGAATACAGTTTAAAAGAGTGTTGAGTAAATGTTTAAAATCTTGCTGCATGGCCAACCTGGATGGATTTAGAATCTATCATACTCAGTGATCTATCACAGAAACAAAAAACAGAGTACCACATGTTCTCACTCATAAATGGGTCCTGAACATTTACCATAAGGCTATAAGAAAGTGATTGGCAGTAGCAGGATACTGCTGGGGTGGGGGAGGAGGAAACACAACATCAATAAGCGTATCTGATTTCAAACCAGGCAAAATGGGGAACAAAGGGAGGCTCAAACTTTACCTGTGCAATGACTACTTGTATACCTAATCCTGAATTGTACCTCATATTTAAAAATCTTGCTTCGTGGTTTTAATTATTCTAGAATATCTTAAAGAAACACAAGTATCCTAACCCAGGGCTCCTATGCAGTGAAGAATTTGCATATATTTCATTTTTGGATGCTTTCTTACTTCCAGTGACCTCTAATTTTTAAAAAAGATATCAGAATTATAAAAGGTTGTAATAAAAATAAGCACAAAGTAGTGCACTAAAAGTACAGATTAATGTGTGTGGGAACAGAGGGACATGTATCCAACCCCTTGGAGTAGAACCAGTAGTCATTTTACAAACACCTACAGTGTCTTGCAATTCTGACAGGACTTTCATAAAGATGATGTTTTCTCATTTTTTTTTTCTTTTTTGCTGTGCATCTCAGGAATTTGAAAAAAACTACTTGCTTTTCATTCAACTTTTCTGGCTTTCAACACCTGTGGCAATAAAATCAAGGCATTCACATGCCATGTTGAAGTTATTCCTATGTTATCACTCAGAAGAGTGCAAGAAGTAGAACCCTTAAAATTATAATAAACTAAACTGTTTTCCCCAGACAAAAGTGTATCTAACTCAAGACTACATAAAATTTATTTCACACAGCAACCCTGATGTGAAAGAACCCAGGAGGAGCACATACGGTACTTCCAGCTTGTTTCCAACCTTAGGTGTTAATGTCACAAGGCAAGCAGGGTGCAGCCCGGGAACACGCCTGTATGGGGACACCTCATAGGCAGCCGTGGGATGGCACCTCTCTCCTTTACACCCAGCAGAACTGTGAGGACCCGTGGGTAACTATCTCAGAGGCTCTGAGCTTGCATGTCCCCTTCTGAGGAGTATGTTAGATGTGCAAGGACACCCAACATGATTTCCTCTTTCATGTCTTGTATACAGTATCTCTACTTGGGCAAAGTCACATATGTGCTGTCATTTCTGAACTAGAACATTGAAGTCCTCCAAGACTGATTTTTCCTAAGTTGCAAGAGTCGGCTGTCGCTGTCCGCGGTGCTGAAGTTGCCGGGACTCGCGTTCTCTTGCTCTTGGCGACTACAGGCTGCCTCTAGATTTTCTTTAGATGAGGACCCCCAGCCAGGAGAGACGTTCCTTCGAGTTTTTTCGCTCTCTGGTCCCCCCGTGCCCCCCGCTACGAGCCCGCGCTTCGCTCAGCACCCAGTCCCAGCCTCGCCCTCTCCGGGGAAGAGCCGCCAGCGCCCCGTTCCGTCCCCTGCGCCCTGCTTTGTCCCTGGGCTCCGCTCCGTTCCCTGCGCCCCATTCCGCCCCTGGGCCCCGCTCCGTTCCCTGCGTCCCGTAGTTCCCAGCTTCCGGCTCCTCCCTTGCGCCCCACTCACCTTCTAGCTCTGGGCTCCACTCCCGGATGACAAAAGGGCTGCCCTTCGCGCGCTCCTCCGTCTTCCCTCGAGTGCTGGAGAAGACACACTCAGGCTGTCCCAGCGAGTGACTCCCCAGCTCGCGTCCTGGAAGCGACCGCGCCTCTCCAAGTCTACGTCAAAGCCTGGGAACCACTGCCCCCTCTCGCCTCCAAGTCCCCCTCTGCGCCCTCCTCTCTCTATCCCCAGGGACTTGGGCTCCGGAGGTGGCAGGTGGCCACCCACACACTGCCGAACCTGCCCACCCACTCTTCACCAGGACCTGTACCCCGAGCTCCACTTCCTGCTCCTGCCCGGAGGCACAGGGAAACTTGAGGCTGGCACCACGCTGGTTCAGGCCAGGATGGGCTTCCCAGGTTCCCTGCTTACACGGGCTTCATCTTAAAATATAGGGCTAGGAGGGGAACTCCGGGGTAGGAGGAGGGACACGGGCACCTCTCTGGGGTCAACAGGGCTTCCAGGAGGTCAAACACCTGCCAAGACAGCTCAGAGGTGACTTCTAACCTTGCTCTGGACTGAAGGGAGGGAGAAAACACCCCCAGGGCAGTGTGTGGACTCCACTGGAAGTTGCTTTAATTCAGGCCAGCAGACGGGTATCTCCAGGGTGGCCTGGTCATCCAGAGCCCAGGCTGTGACTGGCACTGCCCTGGACAGAAAGGACTTCGCTTTCCAGGAAGGGGAAGCCCAAGGATTTCCTCTGGGTCCCACCCGAGGCTAGATGGTTTGGGTGAGAAGGTGGGAGGGCAGGAGCCACACTATTATTTTGCCTCCTGCTCACTAGCGGTGGGAGGCAAGGGCTTGTCCCTGCTTGGAATCCCTGCACCTCCTGAAAACCACTTGTAGCCTCCATTAACAGAAGGCTTTTGTGCAGCCCAACAGTATCCATGGTTACCTTCCAGAGGGACCACGCTTCCCAAGGAGATTCAGAAAGCCAAAGCTGGAGCATGGCCCCTTTGAAGCCGGTTGGTCCCACAGAAAGAGGGAGCTCTGCAGAGGAGCTTCTGGGCCCAGGCTGTTCCTCCTGCTCAGGGGATACTACGGAGGGGGCTGCAGCTTCTCCATCTGTGAGAAGCCCTGCTTCTACTCACCCCTGTAGATGAGGGAAAAGACCAAGAGTGACATCTTGGACTTGCCTCCTGAACTTCCTGGAGCTCATGGCCTTTTGGAGCAGGTGATGGGAGAAGCAGGGTGTGTTGTCTGTGTGTGAGCTTAAGTAGAGGTTGGCAGAGGAAGGCCCTGAGGAGGAGAAAAGTGTAAGATGGGGAGAGAAGCACTGTGGAGGTGACTGGCCAGCATCCTGAAAAAGGGGTCCTGCAGGTGTCCTGGAATCAAAAGGCAAGGAGTCTCCTCCAGAGGGAGAAGAGACCGGGAAAAGGCAAGAGAGAGCAGCCAGGGCAGTCCTGGGCTTCTGGGGAGTAGAGCCAAGAAAAAGGAGCAGGGAGAAAGATGTAATTCTGACTGGACCATGTAGACAGTTACAGCATTCTTGAAAACACTCATGTTTTCATGAGTGCTCACTTGGTTTCCACATGCCTATGTGCTAATCACTATCTAACATGCTGTGGATGCAGAAAGAACGAAACAAGATTCCTTCATTCATGGGGTTTGCATTCTAGCTGAAGACAAAAGAAAATTTAAATGTTTTAATTTTAAAATTGTATCTATACACATATATAAGTGTATATGTATGCACACATATATAATGATGTATGCTTCTGGTTTCTGTGTTGAGTGGTGAGTTTACAACTCTGTATCAACAACAAGCACACAACTAGATAATTAAATAAACACATGGTGCCAAACACAAGTCAATAAAATCTGTCATCCTGAAGACCAAGGAAAAAGATATGTGTAATGTGGCAGATGTAACAAGAAAGCAAAGGGTCATCAACAAAAAGTAAAGGATTGGAAATGGAGGGGAGTAGAGAGCCATTTTACACAGAGTAGAAGAGAAGGCCTTCCTGAGGAGATCCTGCAGTGAAGATGGGGCAAAGTGAGAGGGTAAGTGGAGGGTTGGAAGAAAGTGCCGTGGCTTTGAACAAGGATGGGTGAGAGAGTTCTTCCAGGTATAATGGCAGAACATGAGATCAGAGGAGTGACCGGAGAGCCATCCTGTTTCTAGGAGAGGACAGACCAGAGGGCAGAGGGCAGTGCACAGTGGGCTGGGAGTCTTCAGTGAGCTCTGCCATCCTCCAGATGAGATGAGAGGGTGGCCTAGAGAATAGTGGGTGTAGGATATGGTGATGGTGATCTGATTCTGAACATATTTTGATGGTAGAAAGGACAAGACTGGGTAGGGGATACAAGAGAAAGAGAAAAATTGAAGGTGACACCAAGTCCAGGGACTAAGTCACTGCAAGTTTGAAATTGCCACTGGCTGGCTGCAGGGGAAAGTGACTTGAGGGACAGGCTTAGGAAAGGGAAGCCAAGAATTCAGTTTTGAATATGATGAGTGCAAGATGAGCAACATCCAAACAGAGATACTGAGATGATGGGGAAGATGCTGGAATCGGAGACAAACACCCAGGACACAGGGCTCAGAAGGCCAGTCTCAGGGTTTTGTCAAAATAGATCATCAGGAAAAGTATGAGAAATGGGTACAGCAGTCCCAGGATAGAGCCTGGAAAATGCCAGCATTTCAGTGACTAAGAAGCAGAGACAAGAGAAACTAGGAGCCTGTGGAGCCTTGGAAGTCAGCAGGGCAGAGCTGGTCCTGGAGTGAGGGAGGAAATCAACTAATTGCAGACTCAGTCAGGGAGTCAGCAAAATGGAGACAGACTTTTCCATTGGATCTGAAAATAGGAGGTTGCTGAGGAGCTTCTGCAGGGCGAGAGCCATGGTGTATTGCAGGAGGGAGTAGTTAAGCAGACTCAGGAGAGGCGGCAGACTACACCTGTCGAGTCATCGCCATGGAGGAGGGCTGACCAGACAGTGAGTAGCTGGGTCCCAGTCACATTTACTGAGGGAGAGGACCCAATGGGGGAGGGCAGCAGATCAGAAGGGAAAGACGACAGACAACCTCAGAGGAAATCATTGTAAAGGGACTAGGAGGATAAGGAGGGGACAGCATCCCACAGAGAGAAGAAGGAACTCCCTGTGGACATGGGTGTGTCTGTGAGTGGTGTGGTGATACGAGAGGGGAGCAGGAGGTGAGAGACAATGACCGATGGTTCCTTCTTCTCAATGAAGGAGACACACAGTCATCCACGGAAAATGAATCGGGGTAGGTGTTAAGTAGGAGGCTTAAAGAAAGTAAAAACCTAGGGAATAATCATTGAAGGAAAGAGGAGGGAGGAGGCAGAGACTAAAGAACAGGACTAAAACCTCAGGGAGAGTCTGAGCCCATAAGCCACTCTGCACACTCGTCTGGTTTTATGAGGCAGGATAGCACAATGGTGGAGACCACTATGCTTGGGGACCTAGACTTACACTGTGTCCCTCACATGGCCCGTATCATTTACTCTTAGATGCACCTTTTTGTATATTTAACATCATGGAAATTAGGATGTCTCTGTCAACCAATGGTGCCTTGTAGTTAGAATTATAGCCTTCTCTTTTCGTTTTTGTTTTGTTTTGTTTTGTTTTTTAATAGTGGGATTTCTGCAACTGATGGTATCTTTGGGCTTTGGGCAAGTTACTCATCCTTTGTGAAGTAGATTTCTTGCCTGTAAAATGGGCACAAATCTCCCTTATGGTTAGTGAAGATAGAATGAATCATACACAGAAAGCACTTACAATGGTGCTTCACAAAGCAAGACTTGACAAATGTTAGCTGTTCTTTTCTTATGCTGTGCTCATCCGAATGAGTATAGGAGAAAATAATGGTCATTGCATGATTGATGAAAGGAACCAAAGGCATAAGAAAAAGTGGAGACTGGTGTAGGGAGACGAAAGGCAAGAGGAAGGAAGAGGCCCGGTGTCCCACTGAAGACAAAGACAGGTCTAGGGGAGTAAGGAGAGCAGTGCTGAAAGGCAGGGAGATGGAGACTTGAGATCCAAATTGTAAAGGTGGAGCTGACTTTCTGATTTCTGTGTTCTTAACCCCAGGCACAACCACTGTCATGAGCAGCTGAAATGGAGTGAAGGCAGAGGCTACCCGTTGCCAAGCTGACTGCTCCCAGAAGTCTGAAGAGAGTGAATTGAAATGGTCATCCCTGTTTTGCAGAAGCCAAGGGTGTATGAAAGCTCCATTCCAGCCAAATCCTAGAACAACTCTTGACAATAGGAGTGAAAATTCACGATTTTTTAATCTCTAGCTAGTATCTACTCGTGTGCTATTTTTTCTTTTTAATACACAGTTGTACATAATATAACATTTTTGTCAACAGCAAAAACGCATACGACAGTGGTCCCATAAGATTATAATACCATATTTTTACTGTCCTTTTTTAATGTTTAGATGTGTTTAGATACACAAATACTTTGTGTTATAGCTGCCTACAGTATTCAATATTCAATGACATGCTGTTCAGGTTGGTAGCCTAGGGACAGTAAGCTATACCACACAGCCCAGGTATGTAGTGAGCTAGATTATCTAAGTTTGTGTAATTCACTCTATGATGTTCACACAATGAGAAAATCACCTAATGACTCATTGCTCACAACGTGTCCCCATTGTTGTGATGCATGACTGTAATTACTTGAGATTGGAAATGTTGGCCTGAAGCGTACTTGTGTATGACTACACTCTACACTGGGAAAGGATGCCCTGACTAGATGTTTCTCACAAATACAACTTACCAACTTGCATTTGAAAAGTAAGTAGTGATCTTACTGAATTTTTAAATTTAGAATCAGATCCTAGCCACTACCTACTCTGTTGTAACATACATTTATATTTCTGTTATCAAGGCAATGTGGAGAGATTGTTGGGAAGGGAAATATGTGTTTTTTAATCCTGAACCTCACCATCAGCTTGATAATTGTAAGAGGACACATCAATTTTTAAATCAGAGAATCATTATCACCAACCATCTGATGGAAACACATCACACTCCACCAAACACGTGAGGATGATAGATTTCCTGCTTCATCCTCGCAGTTTCATTTTCAAAGACTAGACTCTAACA